GAGAGCTGGCTGATCAAAATGTATGAGGGTTGTGAGTAGCAGGTCCACCATGACCAAGAAAGAAACCCGAAGCTCTGTGATGTTTTCCAACTAAACAGCCAATCAAAGATCTTCCCTCCAAGGACAAGTGCACTATTTTGTTGGATTCTGCACCTTTGCGTGCTTGCTTGCACACAACTATAGATTTGTGTTCAAAGGTTTCATTCTGCTTTTATTCATCGTTTCTTTCAAGGTGACATTTCAAGGGAAATATTTCAGAATGGAGAAGGAAGACAGGGCTAAACATGACAAAGTGTTAAGCAGATGTCAGCTGAAAGAGTTAATCGCAATGCGACGTAGGCTCTCACACAAGACAGAAATATAACTCTAGGCTTTTTCCAAATGCATTCTTTACACAGCAGAAATAACTTTCGCTTGCACATTAATCAAATTTGTGGGCTTTTTCCCACAATCATTTTAATGCCGACTCCTTAGCATGTGCTAAGCAAATAATTCTTCCAAATACCAAACTTAGCTCATGCCTCAATAGGACTCAACCAAAAATATTAATAGCTTTTCACACCATTCTTTTCCTTGTTTTTTTTCTTCTTTCAACAGCAGTATTTTTTTTTAAAAAAACCACAATTTCTGCATTTAAAAGTAGACATTCTATTTATCTACAGCACAAACTATAGTACAGTATGCTACAAAGAGAGCCAGTTTGGTTAAGTAGTGGTTAAAGGCACCTAGTTAGAAACCAGGAGATGGGGGGTGTTCTTGTTCTTCCTCAGGCACAGATTCAGCTGAATGCCCTGGGCCAGTCACAGTCTCATATTTATTTGTTTGATAAAAAGTATCCCACTTTTATGGCGTTTTACAAATAACTCAAGGCAGTGAACATATCCAACACACCTTTCTCCTTTGATTTTCCTCACAACAACGACAACCCTGTGAAGTGGGTGGGGCTGAGAGAGAAAAGGACCAAAGTCACCCAGCTGGCTTTCTTTCACACCTAAGGTGGGATCTGAACTCACAAAAAGAAATCTATGTATATCGGGGCAGTGGGATTTTCCTGATTCTTTCTTTTTTTTTAGCAGCCTTATGGGGGTAATCACGAGGGGTCCATTGTTTCTCAGAAAGCTGTGGGTCTTCAGCTGTGGGTTTGGGGGTGGAATCCTTATTAGGGTTTGGGCTCTTGGAATCCTTATTAGTCTGAAAATTCAATAAGGAGACTATGTTACCCTTTAGGGATGCCAATCTGCTCTTCAGAAGGGGCCGTCTCTGGTTCAGTGGGACATGTATTTAGATGCAACCCGAGAACCAGAATGGCGGAACGTCTACCTCAAGGAACTGGGTAATGCCTCCTCTAGCCCTGTTGTCTAGCCTCTTTCCCCACTATTATGCCTTCCAGATGTGAGGGATTTTATCACCCCGAATCCCCAGCCAGCGTCAAAGAGGTTGGGCGAGGCAACTTTGAGATCTTCAACCACAATGTCTGCTCCACGGAGCCATCAATCCATGTCCCTCCCTTATCTTGCACTCTCTGACTGTCTTTATCAAAACCAATGTTGTTTTAAATAATGTCATCCCTGCTACGCTAAACCTCAAGCGGGGAGATTTATTAGCCAGAGCAGAATCCAGCACATAAAGTGAGATGCTTTCTGCCAAGCTGGGTCCATTTCTCTTTTCTCCCAAGCTGTTATGCTGTTGAAGAGTTCCAGATCTAGGAGGAGGCCCCGAATTATTCAAGGCAAGGCCCCAAGGATGAAGGCCAGGCCCAGAAATCTCGTACAAACTTCAGCAAAAGGGTCTCTGAACTCATCACATATATTTTTTTTGCACAACTACACAAAACCTCTCCCTTTGCATCTTCGGCCAAATGTCATGAGCAATTGTGTTTCTGAAAGGAGTCTCAGGTCCCAAAGGGAGAGGCAACCCACAATTGTATTCTGCAAATGGGCCCTCCTCCACACACAGAGATATGCATCCATGTACAAACAGCACAGGTTCTTCCTAAAGGTTGCAGCTAGATAACTGATCACACTGGGAAATCAGATCTTATGATCAATATTTTTATTTTCCTAGGTCAAACGTGCATTTTTCTTTAATTTGTCCTAAGTGCAAGGATTCTTCCTGTTGTCTCATCTCTCTTGAAGCTCTTGAGTTGTCTAAAGCAAACTTACTGCCAGAAGTAGACAAGTTACTATCATAAAGAGTTCCTGGTATAAACCAACCACATGCTCAAGTCAAGAGGTCTTATACCATTCTGGTCAAATGCTTGTCACCTCCAGTGATGGAGCATCCACAGCTCCAGGAGGCAAGTTGTTCCGTTGAATAATTGTTCTTATTGTCAAGAAATTTCTCCTTACTTTGAGGTTGGATCTCTCTTTAAGAAGCTTCCACCCTTAACTATTTTTTCCTGTCCTCTGGCGCTTTAGAGAATAAGTGAATGTCCTCTTCTCCATGATAGCCCCTCAAGTACTAGAAGACAGCTATCGTGTCTCCACAATCCTTCTCTTTGATAAGAACAGCATCTTGTAAGGACCAATGAATGATTAAAAATATGGCTCTCAAACCTATCTAAGACTCAACAACAAAAGATGTCCCAAAACATCTGCTGATGCCAATTGTGCGTTAGTGTCTCAAGTTTGCTTTGGGAAGTATGTTTTCTTCCAAAACGATTCAAAACACTCCAAAGAGTAAGATGCCTAAATCTAAGCTTTTTTTAAAAAGCATTTTTATCTCCTTTTGACAGATGAGGAAAGATTTAATTTTGGGTGAAAAAGAACAATCCTTGGTGTTAGTTTTATGATCTATTTCAAATGAATGAAGCATTGATCGGATAGCTGAAATGATGTTGTCTCAGGTGCTGAATAATCAACCACTTGCTTTTGGACGACAAAATGTGTTGGCTAAATTACCACATGCAGGAACACATCTTATATCCCCTGCCTTTGGTGGAGATGAGTCTTTGAACACACCAAACCAAAGCTAACCATACAGTCTCCAAATTGAGCATTGAGATCAAACAAACCACAAAGTCCCAAACCGATTCAAGTAACACATCCAATCCACTGCTGAACCTAGCAAGACACACAACTGATCTTAATGTTACATTTAGAAAAACAATAACACCCAAATCACAGTATTCCTTCTGCTTTTTCAATGAACTGGCATCGGAGATCTGCCCAACACATGACATGCCACAAGTCAAAGCAATAAATACACGACATAATGCAGCAGATGTATATAGTCCATAAATGATTCAACTGTTGAATTGGTTCTGCCTCCCTAGAATTTTAATCTGTTATTTCATGTCCTGCACTCTGTCAGTGTTCCAGTGAAACTGCCCATTCCATTCAGCACTCAGAAACAAAGTTTATCCAAGTAAGAATTTATTGAAGAAGTCATACTGGCACATCTGGGAAAACCCGAATCTGAGAGTTTTGGGTTTTCCCTTCCCAATTGAAATTCACAAAACCATCCCCTGCACCCACCAGTCTATCCCATGGTCCAATCACCCATTGTCCCAACTGGAGACATTCCTCCAGTCACTCCTTTCCAGGTGCAGGGTAACTTGTCCTTGACTTTATGGGAAGAAGGTTGTTATGTCTAAACTTCCACCACTCTGTGAAATCCTCCCTGCCAAATTCCCAGGCACTAAGATGTGGCAGTGTGGAAGCTTCTAAGTAAAATATGGCTTCCAAAGCTGACACACTCTGGGATAACCAAGAGCAGATCATGATATCCCTTCGGACAATGGACAAATGTGATTATATCAAGGCTATACCTACCCTTAACTAGGTAGATGGTTACTAGTTGGCCCCAAAGAAGAAGGCTCCCTAGCTAAAGATTTTGAGAACAAGCGCTGAAACTAGAAGGAATTAAAAGTTTGGGAACTTGTAAAAAGGTGAGGGTGGGATATTTCATATAGTGTTCCTTCTTAGGAGTTGCCTTGAATTGAATGTACCGTGCCATTTTCATGGGGCAGAATAATAGCAACATTCCTGTTCTAAAAATGAATCGCACTCTTTGGCATGCCTGGGAAGAAAACCCACATGCCGTTTCCCAGGGTTTGTTCAATCCCTAGAGCTTCACAGCTTGGCTAGTACCAACGTTTGGTAGATGTAGTCTGAAGACCTGTCTGCACCAGATCAATCTCCCAGGGTTGAAGGTTCCCAAAGCTGCTGCTCTGTCCTGCTGACTACCATTTTGCTTACATCAGAAGCATATTTCCTGTTTTCGTATATGGCCGTCTAGGGAGCAATGATGTCACATCTATATTTTGGACAAAGTAGATGAAAACAGGAGTGGTAGAGTGACGAAGGAGAGTGATGCAAAGAGGTCAACTTTGGAGTTCAATCATACTATCACAAAAGTCATATCAAAATAATGCTTTGTTAAGAAGGAGGAGGAGGAGGAGGAAGAAGAAGAGGAGGAGGAAGAGGAGAAGGAGAAGGAGAGGAAGAGCAGGAGGAGAAGGAGGAAGAAGATGGTATGACCAAAGAGAACCAATTGGACAGATAACTTTTTAGGTCCTCCACTTCTAGTTCATCTCATGTATTAACTCATACCTCCCCTTGCATGTCACCTAATGTTCCTTACGAAGCCTATTATTGTTTTCGAGCACTCAATGGTTCAATTTCCACCAGTGGAAGAGGATAAGTGATCTCATGAGCTTTCTTTTGACCGACGTCCTTTCTAGGAAGAAGCAATCTTCCAAGAAGCTTTCATTCAACAATGTTCCAAGGAACACTCTCCTCAAACCAACATAGGCTGACTCTCTTTTTTGCTTTTATGCCTCCTCCTCCTCCTCCTCCTCCTCCTCCTCCTCCTCCTCCTCCTCCTCCTCCTCCTCCTCCTCCTCCTCCTTCAGAAACATTATTCTCTATCTGGTTTCTTCCAAATCACTTGGGACCTACCACACCCAGGAATCCTGAATAGGGAATTCTGGCATCCGCAGTACCAACAGATCACTCAACTAGAAGATGATGTCTTTGGGGAGAGGTGGACCGACTTACCTAAGTAATTGTTGCTCTTGGACATCTCAGTGATGTTGATTTTGGTGGCCCCTTCTGGAATTTCGACTATTTTGTGGTAGCCAAGGTTGGTCAGGCTGTGCTTGAAGACTCCCGAGATGACCCTGCAGGCTGTGTTGTCCCCTCCACAGATTCCACATTTGTCCACCACCTTATCAGAACCCAAGTAGTCATCGCAGCCAATACTCTGTCACAGGAAAGGAAACAGAACCAAGTGGTCAATATAGGGACGGCATCAGAACTGGGTTTCAAGAAAGCAGAGTAAAACTCAGTGAAGACCCATCTCCAACTTGGAACATATTTGTATTTCTGCATTTCAGAAGTGAGGATAAATTACTGTAGATCAGCCTTTCTCAAAGTATGGTCTGAGGATCTCTGAGGACATCAACATGATTTGTCAGCCTATGTGGAAACAATAATCCCACCAAACACTTGCGAGAAGCAGTAGTGGCAGTGAAGGGTGTTGACTTAAAATTTTAATATAATAAATATTGTTAAACTAGCTCAATACCCGTGCTTCACTACGAAACTGTGTGGTCAGGTTTAGTTTTTGGGGAGGAAAAAAAGGGGGGGAAATTCTGCCTACCAGCATCCAGTGGTATTCATCTGGCTAGTGTCCCATCAGTGTGTGAGAGAGTTGAGGGCTGTTTGGAAACTGAAACAGTATTTGCTGTGTGAGCAAGGAGACAGCAAGGAGCCTGGGCGTGGCTTAGCTCAACTGTTCTGTAGTAAAGCTGCTTGCTGCTGTGAAACTGAAACTAAAACTGAAACTCCTCTGCTTGTGTTTTGCATTTGGAAGAGATTTATTTTCAGGAGGGGAGGGGGAGTAGAACTCCTTAGCATCAGAGCGTGTTAATAATACTATTAATATACAAAATACTAATGGAATACGAAATACTAAGAAAGGGATTTCAAAAAAAAATCCTTTCTTAGTGAGCACCTAGAAGCCAAGAGGAACTTATGTGCCAAATTTCAAATTTGTAGGCTTTACAGTTCTGGGGATTTTGTGATGATGCGTGAGTGGTCTTTCGCTTTTATATATATATATAGAAGATAGATAGAAGAAGGTAGATTTAAGAACCATCATGGTATGAAGGCTTCTTCTCCATGGATCTGCTGGTGGTTGGGAAATTGGAATTGACATATTGGGGATTGACAATGCTGTCATGCTTTGCCTTAATGGTTGTTTGGTTTGAGCTTTCATTTTGTTTTTATTGTTGTTTAATTTAGTATTATAGTGCTTAATATTATATTTTGTAAACTGCCCAGAGTCCACTGGGGAGGGTAGCTATATTAGATCTGTCAAGTCAAGTCAAGCCAAGCCAAGCCAAGCCAAGCCAACTCAACTCAACTCAACTCAACTCAAGCCAAGCCAACTCAACTCAACTCAACTCAAGCCAAGCCAAGCCAAGCCAAGCCAAGCCAAGTCAAGCCAAGCCTAGTCTACTAATGCAACACAACACAACACAACACAATACAATGGTGCTTTTGTTAATGATTCCGTCACTTGAAAGTTCTTTAAAAAGTCTTTCCCAATGGAATCCAATGAAATTACAAGTGGGCCAATTTATTCCCCAAACCAAGGCAGACTTTCTTTACTCCCCCTTTTCTAAGCAATGGAATTCACTAAGTTGTCATCACTTCTTTTGAAAGAAGCTTCTGGGTTCTACTGAACAAAATAATAAATTCTGGTGTGACAACCATTCAGCCAGACGTTGGTACACTGTAGAAACCCTTTATTCTGCTGCCTTACTAGGTGCTTTTTCTTCCAAAGGCCAGAAGTAGATATTTATAACTCTGATGAGTTATGGCAGATTGGCCAGACAACTGTAATTGGTCCAAAACTGAATATCACTGGACTTGGGACTTTGGCCAAAACAATTTTAGGGGTGAAGAATAAAGCAATTTTTCTGGCAGATTATTATTATTTTTGTTGATGTGTGTTGTAGCTGCTTCAAGCAGCTCAACACTTAGGAATGTTTCTGAGAACGGTGAAAAAGTTCAGCGCACAGCACAATGGAGAAGCCAGAGTTCGTGATGGATGACAGAATGGGTTGCCTGTTTTCCTCCATTTTTCATGGGGATATATTGGGACCAGATGATATGATAGGGGAAGGACAGGAAGAAGGCCTGGGGCTGGGGGGAGGATGCAGGCCAAGATGGAAAGAGGTTTGAGGAGATGATTTTCCATCAAGGATTTGGGAGAGATAGATTAAAGCCGCCTCTTTTTCCGCAAGGCATTATCTCTCAAGCTGGATCTTCTCTTCCAGCTGGGAGAAGAGTTCAAAGGAATCAGTTGCATCACTTTCCTTCCAAACAAAAGACTCCTCTTTCAGATTAGGGCCTTCTTGGTATCTAGGAATGACGGAATATCATAGTTGGAAGGCAGCTTGGAAATCTTTTAATCCAACCACCTGCTCAGGCAGGACACACTATACCATTCAGAACAAATGATTGTCCGATCTCTTAAAAACCTCTCCTATTTTCCTAAATTGGGCTGCGAGAGAGTGACTGGTTTAGAGTCACCCAGCTGGCTTTCCTGGCCTAAGACAGGACTAGAATGCTGGATGATCTGTAAGTGGATAAGAAGATGATCCAGAGAGTCATCAACACAGCACAAAAAAAAGTCATCGGTTGCTCTCTTTCTTCTTTGGAAGAGATGGCGAAGAGCAGACTCCTCTCTAGAGCACTAAAAATCTCCACAGACCTTTCTCATCCTGGACATTCATATTTCGATCTGTTACCATCAGGCAGGCGTTATAGGTGTCTTAAAATGAGGACTAATAGACTGAGAAACAGTTTCTTTTCCAAGGCAGTAATTGTCTTGAATCAAACAGTGCATTTGTGATTTAGTCCTATGTATATTGTTATTGTTGTTTGTTGTTGCTGCTGTTGTTGTTTGTTGTTGTTGTTGTTGTTTGTTGTTGTTTGTTTGTTGTTTGTTGTTTGTTTGTTGTTGTTTGTTGTTGTTGTTTGTTGTTGTTTATTGTTGTTTGTTGTTGTTGTTTGTTTGTTGTTGTTGTTTGTTGTTGTTGCTGTTGTTGTTTGTTGTTTGTTGTTTGTTTGTTTGTTTTTGTTTGTTGTTGTTGTTGTTGTTGTTGTTTATTGTTGTTGTTTATTGTTTTTTATTGTTGTCATTGTTTGTTTGTTGTTGTTTATTGTTTATTGTTTATTGTTGTTTGTTGTTTGTTTGTTTGTTTGTTGTTGTTTGTTTGTTGTTGCTTGTTTGTTTGTTGTTGCTTGTTGTTGTTTGTTGCTTGTTGTTTGTTGTTTGTTGTTTGTTGTTTCTTGTTTCTTGTTTCTTGTTTCTTGTTGTTGCTTGTTGTTGTTGTTTGTTGTTTGTTTGTTTGTTGTTTGTTGTTTATTGTTTATTGTTGTTGTTTGCTGTTGTTTGTTTGTTTGTTTGTTGTTGTTGTTTGTTGTTGTTTGCAATGGCATAAGCCCATTGCAGTTTGGTCTAGAAGTATATATTGGTATATTTTGTTTCCCATGTGGAAATTCAGAGAACAATAAACAAACGGGATTTATTGCACCAGGAGAAACCCTTGAATTCCAAGTTAATTTCAGAAAGTTATGCAGGTTCAATTAATGTTGGTTTTCAGTCTTCTGTGTTGTTTTTTTTTAGCTCCACGGACCCTTGTGTCATGTTTATTCTGAATTTTGAAGGAAGGGGCTCCAGGAGGCCAAACAAAATGGGAAACGAGCCAGTTGGGGTTGAAGATTGGCTCAACTTTTGCTAAGGAATCTGAAAAGAAATATAATAATAACACCAATTTTGGGGGGGTGAGGTGGGGACTTTTTGTATTTGCTCATTCAAGTGATTCCAGAGAAACTCTGGGAATCCTTTGGAAACTCATTAGGAACTTCTGAGTGGGACTAGCAGTCGTGAACGAGCTGTCTCCCCAATCAACAAGGGAGCTATTTGCCCTCCACGAAGTACATGGATGGATGAAAAATTAAACCCCCCTGGAATTTGTGCCCCAAGATGCCTGTTCTGCACCTCCCCTAGCAAAAATGAAAATTCAGAATGAAAGTCGAGACCAAGAATAAATAATAGCTTTCACTTATATGTTGGATAGAGGCAGAGATCTGAATACAGAATAACAGAGTTGGAAGGGACCTTGCAGGTCTTCTAGTCCAACCCCCTGCTCAGGCAGGAAATCCTATACCATGTCAGGCAAATGGTTGTCAAATCTCCTCTTAAAAACTTCCAGTGTTGAACCCCCAGAACTTCTGGAGGCAAGTTGTTCCATTGGTTAATTGTCCTCACTGTTAGAAAATGTATCCTTAGTTCCAGGTTGGATCTCTCCTTGATCAGTTTCCATCCATTATTGTGTAGCCTTGTCTGGCCTTCGGGTGCTTTGGGGACTAGCTTGAACCCCTCTTCTTTGGGGCAGCCCCTCAGATATTGGAATACTGCTTTCATGTCACCCCCTGGTCCTTCTCTTCTTCATCATTTCAGTTCAGAAACCCAGGTGGGCAGGAGAGAAGGGAATTCCGAGAAGGATCACATCTGGAGGACAAGAAAAATAGCTTCCCTGCTTCCTCCACCCCTTTATTCCTGGGTATTAAATCACCCTTAGAAAAGCCAAGTTGCAGACAGTTACACAAAGAGCGAAAATGCCCTTCCACTGAGTTTAAAAACATGACTTACATAACTCATAACATTTAATCTCCTCATTTCCTACGGAGCCTCCAAGGCTGGCATTGTGGATGGATTCTGCAACAGATAAAGACATGTTGTGGTGTTCTTAGAGCAAAAAAAAGAGCATTTCCAGCCTCTAAATGGGAACCAAAATTTTTTTTTGTAACCACAACGGCGAAGAACACATTGCTGCATGCTGGTAAACAGCAAAGTCCCACTGGCTTCGCACACTAGGATAAGCCACGATTGAACGACGGTTTGTGGCTTTGTGGTTTGAGGCTTTTACGATGGTTGTGAGCTGCCCCAAGTTGCGTTTTTAAGATGGGCAGCCCGACAAACCTTTTCAAACAAATACCGGTAAATGATCCACAGAAAGAGTAAGCCAAAAATAAGGATGACCAAATATATTGGGTTTATTAGGCTATTGTACCCTTAAACTAATCCAGATTTAAGGACAAATTGATAGTGGACTGTAAAACCCAGTGAGCGGATGATTTTGTGGTGCCAAAACTTCATCGGGTGGAACATAAGAAAGACACAAC